CTACGTACCCTCGTAGACCGTAAGCGGAAGCGTTATGAGAACGCGGTTGATGTAGTCGAACGTCTTTACGATCCCACCGATCCAAGTACCAAACGCACGGCACCTCCGAGTTCAGCACACGTTCAGCTCGATGACGTCCCACGAACTCCGATCCAGTAGAGCTTCACGTGAGAGTTCCATCAGCACGACATCGTGATGACGGTGATGATGTTGCTACTGACGCAGGGCTTCGCCTAAGCACCGCTACGATATGATCGAGGTGGATTATGGTGGAGCGGGGCACCGCACAGGGCTTGGAATAATCAACTTGTGTGTCCTAGGGTGCCCCCTGCCCCCGTATATAAAGGAGCAAGGGAGGAGGCCGGCCGGCCCTTGCAGGGAGCGCCAGGAGGAGGGTTCCTCCTCCTTGTAGGAGTTGGACTCCCCTTTCCTACTCCTACTAGGAGAGGGAAAGGAAGGAGGAGAGGGAGAAGGAAGGAGAGGGAGGAAAGGAGGAAAGGGGGCCGCCCCCCTAGTCCAATTCGGTTTGGCCTAGGGGGGCCGTGCACCCTGCCTCCTCTCTTCCACCACTTGGCCCATGAGGCCCAATACTTCTTCCCCGTATTCCCGTAACTCCCCGGTACTCCGAAAAATATCTGAATCACTCGGAACCTTTCCGATGTCCGAATATAGTCGTCCAATATATCGATCTTTACGTCTCGACCATTTCGAGACTCCTAGTCATGTCCCCGATCTCATCCGGGACTCCGAACTACCTTTGTTACATCAAATCACATAAACTCACAATACCGATCGTCACCGAACGTTAAGCGTGCGGACCCTACGAGTTCGAGAACTATGTAGACATGACCGAGACACGTCTCCGTTCAATAACCAATAGCGGAACCTGGATGCTCATATTGGTTCCTACATATTCTACGAAGATCTTTATCGGTCAAAGCGCATAACGACATACGTTGTTCCCTTTGTCATTGGTATGTTACTTGCCCTAGATTCGATCGTCGGTATCCTCATACCTAGTTCAATCTTGTTACCGGCAAGTCTCTTTACTTGTTTCCATAATGCATCATCCCGCAACTAACTCATTAGTCACAATGCTTGCAAGGCTTATAGTGATGTGCATTACCAAGAGGGCCTAGAAATACCTCTCCGACAATCGGAGTGACAAATCCTAATCTCAATCTATGCCAACTCAACAAGCACCATCGGAGACAGCTATACAGCACCTTCATAATCACTCAGTTACGTTGTGATGTTTGGTAGCACACAAAGTGTTCCTCCAGTACTCGGGAGTTGCATAATCTCATAGTCATAGGAACATGTATAAGTCATGAGGAAAGCAATAGCAACAAACTAAACGATCATCGTGCTAAGCTAACGGATGTGTCAAGTCAATCACATCATTCTCTAATGATGTGATCCCGTTAATCAAATGACAACTCATGTCTATGGTTAGGAAACATAACCATCATTGATTCAACGAGCTAGTCTAGTAGAGGCATACTATTGACATTCTATTTGTCTATGTATTCACACATGTACTAAGTTTCCGATTAATACAATTCTGGCATGAATAATAAACATTTATCATGATACAAGGAAATATAAATAATAACTTTATTATTGCCTCTAGGGCATATTTCCTTTAGTAATTGCTAACATGATTCGAACAGACTTAAGCATCGCTACGGGTGAGAAAGTCTCATCATAGTCAATCCCTTGAACTTGTCGAAACTCTTTTGCGACAAGTCGAGCTTTGTAGACAGTGACATTACCATCAATGTATGTCTTCTTCTTGAAGATCCATTTATTCTCAATGCCTTGCCGATCACCAGCAAGTCCACCAAAGTCCACACTTTGTTCTCATACATGGATCCTATCATAGATTTCATGGCCTCAAGCCATTTATCGGAATCTGGGCTCATCATAGCTTTTTCGTAGTTCGTAGGTTTACCATGGTCTAATAACATGACTTACAGGACAGGATTATCGTACCACTATGATGTGTAACGTGTTCTAGTCGACCTACGAGGTTCAGTAGTAACTTGATCTGAAGTTTCATAATCATCATCATTTGCTTCCTCTCTAGTTGGTGTAGGCATCACGGGAATGGTTTTTTGTGATGTGCTACTTTTCAATTTGAGAGAAGGTACAATTACCTTATCAAGTTCTACTTTCCTCCCACTCACTTCTTTTGGGAGAAACTCCTTCTCTAGAAATGACCCATTCTTGGCAACAAAGATCTTGCCTTCAGATCTGTGATAGAAGGTGTACCCAATGGTTTCCTTAGGGTATCCTATGAAGAAGCACTTCTCCGATTTAGGTTCGAGCTTATTAGGCTGAAGCCTTTTGACATAAGCATCGCATCTCCAAACTTTAAGAAACGACAACTTAGGTTTCTTGCCAAACCATAGTTTATACAGTGTCATCTCAACAGATTTAGACGGTGCCCTATTTAACGTGAATGCGGCTGTCTCTAATGCATAACCCTAAAATGATAGTGGTAAATCGGTAAGAGACATCATAGAATGCACCATATCTAAAAAAGTACGGTTACGATGTTCGGACACACCATTACGCTATGGTGTTCCAAGTGGCATGAGTTGTGAAACAATTCCACATTGTTTTAAATGAAGGCCAAACTCGTAACTCAAATATTCACCTCCACGATCAGATTGTAGAAACTGTATTTCGGCCTTGGTCTTTGGGTTTGCAGATTTCCAACCATTTCACCATATGGTATTTCTGCTTGCCACCCTTGCCGGCCCAAAAGAAACGGGACTGGTATTTGGCGATGTCCTGGTGAAGGGATTCATTAAGACTATAGAATCCCATCAGGTACATCAGTAGACTAATCATTGAGGAGTTAATGAGAATGACCCACGTCGCCTTGGAGAGCCACCTGCCCTGCCAAGGTTCGACTCTATATTGGACCTTGGTCACCGTCGGCCGAAGGTCCTTCTGGAGTATGCGGGAATCGCTAATGGACATACCCAGATAAGAGATCGAAAACACGCCAAGCCGGCAATTCAGCCGGTCCACAATCCGGAGGCGTTCTTCCTTCGAATAGCCAAGGACCATGACCTCGCTCTTGGCGAAGTTAATTGTAAGATGCCTTGCTCAAATTCGCGGAACAACGCCAGGATTTCTCCCTTGATGGCAGGCCAAAACACCTGAAAAAAACGGACCGGAAGGCCATCCGGTCCGGGGGCCGACGCATGATTCATTCCTTTTATTATGTTGGCTACCTCCTCCTCATCGAAGGGGACAAGCAACAAATCATTCTCAACAATGGAGACCAACTGGGCCCCCCTCCAGATGGTCTTCGCTAATGCGGTGCCTCCATGCGGGCGGGCCGCAAATAGATCCCTATAGAACCCGTCTACAAGGTCCTTTAACTCCCCCGGGTCTTGTATCAAATTTCCCTCGTCCCACAACAGAGGGATGGTACAACGCCTACGGCGTCCATTAGCGATGGCCTGGAAATATGACGTGTTAGCGTCGCCAAAGAGAACCCAATTAAAGGTTCCCCGCTGGCGCCAATACTCCTCCTCCTTATGGAAGATTGTCGTAAGCTCATCCTCCAGATTATAGCGCAAGGCCCATTCATCCGAGGCTAGGCCCACGGCGTCGGCCCTCAAGTCCAGGACTTGGAGAGAAGCGACGCCTTCAAGACCCGAAGGTCACGACCAATGTTTGCGCCCCAACCCTTCATAAATTATCGGGACCTCTTTGCCAGAAAGTGCCAGCCATCGACTGCCGACATCACGCGATGGGACCACAGCGCCTCCTAGTGTTCTTTGACTGCCGAAATGAAACCGGGTTGGTGGAGCCAGAACGTTTGCAAGTGAAACCGGGGAAGGAGGCGGGGACGATCATCCGATGATAAAAGTGACAAGGGGACGTGGTCCGACCCTATACGGGTAATGGGCTGCAGGCAAGCCAGAGGGAACCGTGGGGACATGAACATCTAGTCCAGAACACTCATGGTAGGGTCCAAGTGTCGGTTAGTCTAGGTAAACCTGGCCCTAACCCTATCTAGCTCTCGGAGGCCGAGATCAGCGATCCAATTGTTGAATTGCAGCATGCCCGCAAGATCAATCCGGGCATTATTAGTACCGAGCTATTGATCAAGGCATAATTGTCATGGCTCTTGGTTCTTCCTATTTTCACGCCAATGGCTCATACTGGATGATTGCAGCACACAAACTGTTTATCACGTAAAGGCTTGCAGCTATGTTGATGTTGATTGCTGCCTTCCTTCTGAATTGTATTGATGTTATTTTGATGAGTCTGCATCCTAGAAGCATTTTGATCAACTTTTAATGGAGGCATTTATTGGTTCATTCAATTCAGGTCATTCATAAGTCATGATCCAGCATGAACTGTTGGTTGTTCAATATGCCTTATCCTATATCAGCATGTATTTTTCTGAAATAAAATATTTTCTAATCCTAATCTTTTGTTGTGTTCCTTTTTCAGATATCAATAGCCGCCGTCATCCACCATTATGAACACCTAGTATATATACTACTGACAACCTATGTTGCCTACATTTTGGATCCTATATTAATATACAAATAGAAAAAACAAGGTATGCCATTGAATCCTTTAATTACTTGATCATTTATGCATCTTATATTTCGAAAAAATTCGCGGGGTGTCATCTATTTTTCTATACATATAAGTAGATAGACAAATGCAAAATTTGTACTTCGTCCGTCCCATAACGTCGGACGTATAAGATGAAAGAGAAATGCACCGTATTAGCAGTGCAGAACAGCATAAAGTAAGTATAATTTCTTAAAAAAAGGTAGAGTACTAACTACAATTTCTTCTTCCATTTCTGCGAAAATAACAAATTTATACACACTTTCTGATTCTCATTGCTCGTTCGATATTACTATGTTTACTTCAAAATTACCATTGACAAGAGCAAAATAGTAATCTCGCTATATTACAAGGGTCGGATGATATTACATGAACATGACTCGTATCATTTAGTCGTCGTAATCATCGTTATCCCTGCGGTTGAGGAACCGCCGGACGGCGCCGACGACCGCCCCGCCCACAATGAACAGGACGAGCGTGTCGAAGCCGCCACCGACCCCGAGGGCGACGCTCGGGCCACCGTAGAAGCCGAACGGCGACAAGCCGTACCCGCCATAGCCACCGTAGCCGTAGCCGCCGACCAGCGGTGGCGCCACGCCGGGATTGACGTAGATGTTCGTCCTGCGAGCACGCGCGCGAGCATCACAAAACAAATCAGAATTGCATCAGGCTATTGCTACGTTAGATCTGGCCATCTGGCTGATGTTTAATTGATGGTTACCTTGAGTTGTTTATCCTTCGACCGGACGAGCGCGGCGCCGCGGAACGGAACGCCTTCCCGCCGATCCTGCCGCCTGACTTGCCCGCCATGGCGTCATCGACGGGCGCGAGCACGAGCACGCCGGCGGCCAGGGCGACCATCGCCAGCCTCCCGAGATTCTTCAGCTCGAGGTCTCCGGCCCACGACGGAGGCGCGTCCTTCTGGTTGGAGGCCCTGCAAGAGAGCCTCGCCGATGCCGGCCTAATTGACGACCTCGTGAGCTGCGGGGCCGTGCATAGGGGCCTCCCTGTGAGGAAGCTCTGGAGAGATGTGGGGGCTAACGCCATGGCCGTGATCTCTCCCTGGGCTTCTAGCTTGCTTGCTTTACTTGCTCTTGCTATGTCTTCTTCCTTCTCCGAGTTTCTTGATTGCTTGCTGCAGTTTGAGATGGGAAGTGGTGAAAGAAGGGTAATCTTGTAGCTTCAGGGATTGCCGCGTTTTGGCTGGAGGAGGAGGAAGGGCAGTAGGAGACTAGAAGGCTTATCTTGAGATGAGCAAGAGGCCACTTGGCCGAATGTGAGCGGCCGGGTGAAACCTCTAGAGAAGAGATATCTTTTGAGCGCTTGTTTGTTCCGTAGCACGACTTGTTCTGAACACACAAACATGCAGCTGTGTTTGGCACACGGTTGAATCTGGTGCTTTCACATTTCAGTTTCTCCAGCCATTCTTTTTACGATGCAAGAGCTATGCCCATTTTTTAAGAGAGGAAAAAAAAAAGAATACAGAGTCGCCATTTATGAGGGAACTATAGGGGCTGTTTGGATGACGCCCGAGCCAGCCAGCCAAAATAGGCTCGCCAAGAGTTTGGCGAAGGTTTTCGCCAGCCCGCCAACGCGTGGGCGGAAAATCTGAACGGACTGACCGAAAAATTGGCATGGTTGCAATTCATCGGCGCTGATCCAAATGAAGGTTGCGGTAGCAGTCAACGACTGAAAAATTGGCAGGGCAGGCTATGACTGTTGTTAGATAATAACGAGAAATAAATGAGACAGAGAGACATGGATTTTTACGTGGAAACCCTTGCGGGAGAAAATCACGGACGAACGAAGGCGCAATCACTATAAGGAGGAGTATTACAAGCACGAGGCGACAGGCCGTCTTTAGGTGCGATTACATGGGGTATATAAGAGGGCAATACAAGAGTCCTTGGAGGACAAGTAAACGAGTTGTACTCGTACGCGTCGGTACCAACGCAAAGGCCCACACCGTATATACTACGTTTAGTCAATACGATAGAATTTGGATCACAATTTAACAATCTCCACCTTGAGCCAAATTCCCTCCAGTAGTCGAAGAAAGTATATAACTCCATCCAAATCAGCATAAACACCTTGTGCGTCAAAATCCATAGGACTAGTGAGAAATACCAACTAAGCCCGAGCAAAGCTCAAACTTATTGGTCGGAACTGACTTTGTCATCATATCAGTAGGATTATCATGAGTACTTATCTTACATACCTTCAAATTACCTTCAACAACAACATCTCGAATATAATGAAATCTGACATCAATGTGCTTTGTTCTTTCATGATACATTGAATTCTTTGTAAGATATATAGCACTTTGACTGTCCGAAAATATGATGGGCAAGATGAATCTCCACAAAGCTCAGTGTATAAATCTCTCAACTAGATAGCTTCGTTGCATGCCTCAGAAATAGCCATATACCCGGCATCAGTAGTGGAACAAACCACAATAGACTGCAAAGTTGCTCTTCAACTCACAGCACAACCACCAATGGTGAAAACATAACCTGCGAGCGATCTTCTCTTATCCAAATCACCAGCAAAATCAGAATCAACAAAACCAACAAGTCCATCTCCAGTTTTCCCAAACTGTAAATAAGCATTAGAAGTACCACGCGGGTATCTGAAAATCCACTGAACTGCTTTCCAATGCTCTTTTCCAGGATTAGCCATGTATCTACTGACAACACTCAATGCATATGATAAATCCGGACGAGAACAAACCATGACATACATAAGTGAACCAACTATACTCGAATAGGGAACTCTAGACATGTACTCAATATCTGCATCTGACTTAGGACATAAAGCTGATGATAATTTGAAGTGTGCAGCTAACGAAGTACTCACCGGCTTGGCATTGCATATTAAAACGACGAAGAACTTTATCAATATATCCCTTCTGACTTAGATATACTTTTCCAGACGGTCTATCTCTGAATATTTCCATGCCAAGTATTTTCTTTGCTGCACCCAAATCCTTCATCTCAAATTCATTACTCAATTACTTCTTTAGTTCATCAATATCTAACATACTCTTTGCAGCAATTAGCATATCATCAATATAAAGGAGCAAATAAATAGTTGAACCATTGACAGTTTTCAAATAAACATAACTATCATAATTAGACCTTTTGAAACCTTGAGAGAGCATAAAAGTGTCAAATCTCTTATACCACTGTCTAGGGGATTGCTTCAATCCATAAAGAGATTTCTTTAACTTACATACAAGCTTTTCTTTTCCAGGAATAACAAAACATTCAGGTTGTTCCATATAAATATCCTCCTCTAATTCTCCATGTAAGAATGCAGTTTTAACATCCAATTGTTCAAGCTCAGAGTCATGCATGACAACAATACTAAGTAAAGTGCGAATAGAGCTATGCTTCACAATAGGAGAAAAGACTTCTGTCGTGGAATTGTCACGGCAGAGGTCCTAGTGAAAGGACTTAGTCGTGGAGCCATCGCAACTACGAAGCTTAAAGGGGTTAATCACGACAAAGGACACGAGAGGTTTATACTGGTTCGGCCCCTTGCGGTGAAGGTAAATCCTAGTCCAGCAGATGTGGTATTGCTCGGTTTTGATGACCAAGGAGCGAAATACGCTAGCTTGGCTCTCGATCTCTTGTTTCTTGTCCTAAGCCACCGCCGGGTCGTCCCCTTATATACATGGGTTGACGCCTTGCGACCTACAGAGCCCCGACCGGCTCATACAATGTGTCCGGCTCGGTGACAACTCTTGCATGCCTTATCTTACAAATCTTATTCATACATGGCGGTTTACACTTACGGGCCTTAAGCCGCCTCTGGGCTTGGGCCTACTACAAGCTTTATCATAAATCGTCACCTTGTATACTCTTCGGCTTCCTTTTAAGTAACCCGCCATTGGGATTGACCCGGCCCCTCCTGGGCGGGTCATACCTGGTAGTCATATCTCCAACATTAGGCCCCAGGTTGATTTGAACTTTGTTCTTGTCAATCTCCAACACTTAGAAAAAATCCATCTATTACCGCTGCGAAAACCTTGTACCCGCCATGACGTCATCTCCGGATTTTTCGGAAACCCGCCACCACGTCATCTTTAACGGATCTTTATCTTTATTGCCTTTCCGAAAATTGAGGCACCTGGGTAGCTGGATAATCATGTTTTGGTCTCCTCATTGTTCGCGCTCACTTATTAGTCCTTCCTTATAAATAGCCGCGACTGGTCTTCTTCTCATTCTCCCCCTTTTCCATCGTCTTCTTCCTCTCGCAACTTCCAATGCTCGAACTCTGTCGCCACCGCAGCGCTCACCGTCGTCCTCAACTTTGGCATCTGCATCAACCCGAGTCTGTCCGGAGAACGGCGGTGATCCTCCGCAGTAGATCTGTGTCTGTAAGTTCTTGCTTTCCCACACCTTTGATCTGCATTAGGGTTTGCGAGTTTTTTTGTGTTCTTCGCTGTTCATTGCGGATTCCTTATAGTTTCTCCACCGCATCCTCCTTTGATCTAAAAGAAGTATGGAACTCATGTGGTAGTTGTTTTGCATCCATTTCAGATGCTAGCAGATCCTTCTTTCTTGTACAAAGGCCTCCTTAGAACTGATGAACTCCTCTGCGCTAGTTTTTTAGGTCTAGATTTATTTTTCTTTTTTTGAACCATGTTGATCCAAAATAATAGCAACAACTTATGAAACTTGTTTATCTCAGTACTTAGCCAATTCTGTCTTAGGCAACCTTCGAATATCTTTAGTCATGGCGGCTTATCATGCCGGCTCATTTTTCCTTTATATATCATTAGCCCTTACTTAAGCCGCCATTACTCATCTGCACTATAATCATTAACCTGTAACTCCACCAATTAATTTGAACCGGCAAATTACTTTCTTTTCAGCTTGTCCTTTTTCATTATGCCGTCAAAGACGCCAACAGTCTGCAACTGGGTCCCTTCCACAGTCACTGATGACACTTTGAAGAATTTTTTCACCATCGGATATTTGCCAGCGAAGAACATTATGTCCTATCGTGCCCCTGACCCGGCCGAAGAACGACCTCAGCCCAAAGATGGTGAGGTCATCATCTTTACTGATCATATGAACCGGGGTTTTTCACCACCCGTCTCAAAATTCTTCAGAGATGTTCTACATTTTTCCAAGCTTCATCCACAAGATCTTGGACCCAACTCCATATCCAACATCTGCAATTTTCAAGTTCTCTGTGAGGTTTATGTTCAAGAAGAACCTACCGTTGAACTCTTCAGAGAGTATTTCATCTGAATCACCAGAATGAATGCACCAACGGCCCTAGTTTGCACCTTGGCGGAATTTCGATTCAGCGCCGACAGGGTGCCGTCTTTCCCTTAGTAGTCTTACCAAGCCATCCCAAGGATTGGAACCAAACTTGGTTTTGTTGCAAAGAAACGTCACCATCTGATGAAAAACCAATGTCGGGTTATCGCGTGGCGCGTCTTGATTCTAAGTTTGTGCTCCCTGACAAGCTGACTGCCGCTGAACGGAAGAAGCTCATCCCATCCATCAAAAGGATTCAAGCCTTGTTGGGAAATGGCCTAACCGGAGTTGACTTGATTCGTTGTTGGATCGCATGGCGGGTCATCCCTCTAAGCCGCCGATCCAACTTGATTTATAAATATGGCGGAGGCCCAGATGACCCTCTGCGTCATATTTTTGTACAACTGACTGAAGAGGCTATTGTTGAAATGTCAACCACCCTCGTAAATAGTAAATACGAGGACTGCAGTAAAGTTGGATTGAATCCTTTCTGCAAGCTTAACCCGGCACCAGAGGTAAATCCCCTTGACTCCCTTTTTTCTTCTGTAGTTAAGTACTTGTCTGACTTTTAACCTGTTATCTGCCTACAGGCCAAATCTGACTTTTGGAAGGCCAAATATGATCATGAAGCTTCCAAGAAAGCTAGATCCGCCGCCAAGAAGACAACCCGAAAATCCAAGAAGAAAAGAACAACTTCTGATATGTTCAAGCTGGATGATGTTTCTGAGTCGGAGGTAGCCCTTGACTCTCTTGGCCTGCTTTTTAACAACCTTA